TCTATTACAGAATTACAGAAAAATTGTGTTAAAAGACCCAGAATTCCTCCAAGAAACCTAAGAGGTACTTATCTACACACAATAGCAGCAAAGAAACAGTAACCCCACCTTTCACAGTTTATGAATACTCTTACTAGAACATGATTCACCTTCTTGGCCCACATTGACTTCTAACAAACAAAAACCAAAAAAATAATAAATAAAAATAAAAGTCTCTTGCTTTATGTTTCTTTGGCATTGGCCGTTTCCCTCAACTAGTCCCTGAAGCATTCGTCCTTTCCTTTCTGAATCCCCCCTTCTCTAAACAAACATCTTCCAAGCTTCCAGCAGAGGTGTGCTAAAGATAGCCCTTTGGCAGGCTCCTATCAGTTCTGCTTCTCACTGTAGCTACACACTGGAAGCACCGAGGAGCCTTTAAAAGACAGTGAGGCCTGGTTCCCAGCACCAGAAATTCTGATCTGTCTGGGGTATAACCTGGGTGTTGAGAGTTTTTAAAACTTACCAGTTGGTTTCAGTGTGTGGTAAAGGTGGAGACCACTACCCTGAAGTATAAAGGCTGAATGCCTTTTCAATCTACATAAGTCCCTACCCACCTCTTTAGCCTGACTTACCACTCTCCCTTAAATACTACAGCCACAGAGAACTTCCGGATATTCTCTGAGTAGCCATGCTCCTCCAAGGTGCCTTTGTACAAGATAGTCTCACTTCCAGGAGTTCTTTTTCACATTGGGAAAACTCTTAAACCTATTTAAGATCCAATTAAAAATCTCTTCTGGAAAGCCCTTTTCAACTCAGTGAAGACAGGTCATTGCTCTAAGAACATGACTCAAAATGGTCACCCAAGACAAACGGCTCCTATTGGAGGCATTAGGAAGAGGGGGCAAGTAGTGGGGCATGGTGGGGCGGGGCACCAGAATGGAATTCGGGGGAGAGGCAGTGATCATTCTGAATAGACACTAACCTTGGACAAGTTACCTCCCACCCTGGGCTACAGCCCTGATTTTTCCACCTTCCATGTGAAGCTTTAGAATCTTCTTGAATCTTTGGGTTAGAGGACATCTTGGTATCAGAGAGTATAGTGGGATGGGAAGTAAAGCAAGGGCAGCATCCTTCTCAGGAGACATTTCACCTGAGCCCTCTCAGTGCCCCATGATTAGACAATGAGCTCTCATGATTAAACAGTTGTTTTCAAGTTAGAGCCAGCAAGGTCCAGTCTGAGTAGAGCAGAATAGTCTTACAAGGTTTAAGGGGAGACTTCCACCCTCCTTCCCACTCTCCACTCAAGCTGAGAAATGTCAGAGGGACAGGATTAACCATATCCCTCTGGTCAGACAAGATAAAGGCTCCAAAGGGGGAGATATCCATTCCTGCCTCCAGCATGAAGAGCAGAGGGAAGGGCTGCCTGTTGGGAACTGGCCGCTGCCTCCTGGATGTGCTGCTTTCAGCCTGAGGTTCCTTAGCTCTCCAGCCTATTGCAAGGAAGCCAGAGGGCTCTGGAGTTCTGCTTCCTTGGGATTCTCCAGGGGCCTTTGTGAGGAACCCCAGCTATTCCCTGCCTTATTGGCCAATAAATTCTCAAGGATTTTGCTGATAACCTGGGCTTGTGCCCACTTTTGATCCTCAAGCCAGTCTTTTCTAAGATAGGATCTGAGGAAAAATATGACCATAACTCATGCTCATAGTCAGCTCTCAAATCCCCACGTGAAGCAGACATCTTTGTAAATACTTGATGGAAGGATGATGTGTAGACCAGCCAGCCAGACTAAGCATTTCAGTTCCATGTGCCTGACAAAGGCAGGTCTCCAAATGACAAAATGTGTTGACTTTTCTGGCCTCAGCTACGTCCTGGGATTCCATCACTCAACCGAGCATGTGTTTTCCTTACCATGGAGATGATTAAGATTGATGGAAATGGAATGCTTCTGTGCAGTCGTCTGGCTCCCTGGGTCACTCGTGGCTTTCTCTGTAGCCTCCTGAAACCCATATAAGGAGGAACTGAATTAGGACTTTGGGAAGTAAAGAAAACTTTTGCAAAAGTAGTTGAAAAGAAGGAACTTAACACCTTCAACCAGATAGGAATGTTACTTTCACAACCAGAAAGCGGACAGGCAGAATCCCTCCTTGCAGACACTCCCTCCATTCCAGCCTGCACTGACTTCTCCCGGCCAGCAAGTGCCAGTGCTTCCCTCACTGTCACCCTACCTTTTTCTTAGTAGGTGTTTTCACCTTCCTCTTCTTCTTCTTTTTCTTCTTCTGCTGCTGCTG